TTTTTTCTGTCAAGATGGGGTGCTGAGTGTACATTAATGAGAAATAAAATGAACTTTTTTGATTTTAGCAAATGGCTGCAATGAAACAAAGAGTGAAAAATTTAAAGGGGTCTGAATACTTTCCGTACCCACTATATATGATCAACCTGTCTTTACTAACAGGTCATGTACCACAGTCCTTCAAAGTAGCTGTAGTTAAACCTCTTCTTAAGAAGCCCACTCTCGATCCAGAGGTGTTGGATAACTATAGACTGATCTCTAACCTTCCCTTCCTCTCTAAGATCCTTGAGGAAGCAGTCGCTAATCAGTTGTGCGAGTTTCTACAAAACAATAGTTTATTTGAGAATTTTCAGTCAGGATTTAGAAAGCATCATAGCGCAGAGACAGCTCTGGTAAAATAACTGATGACCTTCGAATTGCATCAGACAAAGGATTCGACACCATTGACATCACAGTATATACAGAGACTGGAACATTCAAAATAAGGTACCACGCCTAGCTGATCTCAGTCCTATTCATCAGATCTATCCAAGTCTGTACAGGTAAACAATGAATACTTCATTCACACCAATGTTTGTCAAGGTTCCATGACTTTCTGTGCTTGGACTTATTTTATTCCCCTTATATTCAGTTGTGTGAAAAAGTGTTTTCCCCCTTCCTGATTTCTTATTTCTTTGCATGTTTGTCACACATAAATGTTTCAGATCATCAAACTAATTTAAATATTAGACAAAGATAACACAAGTAAACACAAAATGCAGTTTTTAAATGAAGGTTTTTATTATTAAGATGGAAAAAAAAATCCAAACCTACATGGCCCTGTGTGAAAAAGTGATTGCCCCCTAAACCTAATAACTGGTTGGGCCACCCTTAGCAGCAACAACTGCAATCAAGCGTTTGCGATAACTGGCAATGAGTCTTTTACAGCGCTGTAGAGGAATTTTGGCCCACTCATCTTTGCAGAATTGTTGTAATTCAGCCACATTGGAGGGTTTTCGAGCATGAACCGCCTTTTTAAGGTCATGCCACAGCATCTGAATCGGATTCAGGTCGGGACTTTGACTAGGCCACTCCATTTTGTTTTTCTTAAGCCATTCAGAGGTGGACTTGCTGGTGTGTTTTGGATCATTGTCCTGCTGCAGAACCCAAGTGCGCTTCAGCTTGAGGTCACGAACAGATGGCCGGACATTCTCCTTCAGGATTTTTTGGTAGACAGCAGAATTCATGGTTCCATTTACCACAGCAATTCTTCCAGGTCCTGAAGCAGCAAAACAGCCCCAGACCATCACACTACCACCACCATATTTTACTGTTGGTATGATGTTCCTTTTCTGAAATGCCATGTTACTTTTACGCCAGATGTAATGGGACATACACCTTCCAAAAAGTTCAACTTTTGTCTCGTCAGTCCACAGATTATTTTCCCAAAAGTCTTGGGGATCATCAAGATTTCTGGCAAAACTGAGACGAGCCTTTATGTTCTTTTTGCTCAGCAGTGGTTTTCATCTTGGAACTCTGCCATGCAGGCCATTTTTGCCCAGTCTCTTTCTTATGGTGGAGTCATGAACACTGACCTTAATTGAGGCAAGTGAGGCCTGCAGTTCTTTGGATGTTGTTCTGGGGTCTTTTGTGACCTCTTGGATGAGTCGTCGCTGCGCTCTTGGGGTAATTTTGGTCGGCCGGCCACTCCTGGGAAGGTTCACCACTGTTCCATGTTTTCGCCATTTGTGGATAATGGCTCTCACTGTGGTGCGCTGGAGTCCCAAAGCTTTAGAAATGGCTTTGCAACCTTTTCCAGACTGATAGATCTCAATTACTTTGTTTCTCATTTGTTCCTGAATTTCTTTGGATCACAGCAAGATTTTGAGGATCTTTTGGTCTACCTCACTTTGTCAGGCAGGTCCTATTTAAGTGATTTCTTGATTGAGAACAGGTGTGGCAGTAATCAGGCCTGGGTGTGGCTAGAGAAATTGAACTCAGTTTTCCAAAGATGTGATAAACCACAGTTAATTTATGTTTTAACAGGGGGGGGGGTAATCACTTTTTCACACAGGGCCATGTAGGTTTGGATTTTTTTCCCCCTTAATAATAAAAACCTTCATTTAAAAACTGCATTTTGTGTTTACTTGTGTTATCTTTGTCTAATATTTAAATTTGTTTGATGATCTGAAACATTTAAGTGTGACAAACATGCAAAAAAATAAGAAATCAGGAAGGGGGCAAACACTTTTTCACACAACTGTATGCTTCCTTTTATAACAAAACATCCATTGTTATGCAGATGATACTCAATTATATCTATCGATCAAGCCAGATGGAACAAACCAGTTTACTAAACTTCAAGCATGTCTTAAGGACATAAAAACCTGGATGACCTGCAACTTCCTGATGTTAAACTCAGACAGAACTGAAGTTATTCTACTAGGCCCAGAACACCTCCAACATCAGTTATCCAATGATATGGTTACTCTAGATCACTGATTCTCAACAAGTGGGTCGCGACCCACCAGTTGAGACCCGTTTTCAGTGGGTCGCGGGCCTTTGCCTGAAAAGAAAAATTTAAAAAAAAGATTTTTTTATGCAACGGAGTTATTCACACTCATTAACAGTATTTGGCATTAATGCCTTGTAATGCTAATAAACACCCGCCATTTCACAGTATAGAACAGGGGTTGCTAACTGGCGGATGGCGGTCCGGACCTAAACGCCGATGTATCCGGACCCAGGACCTAAAACCGATAAGATAATTATTACATTTTGACGGAGCGCTTCTGTTTTAACCGGTGCAGCTTTTCCAGCATTTCCGGTACTTCTTCAGCGGTGCACTTCTCCACATTTCTACCGCTGTTAAAAGAGTTTTTTGTGGGGAGTTTCTGATGCAAGGGTCCAAGAACAGAAGATGCTGCATGCTGTACAGATTGTAAAGCCCTCAGGCACATTTGTGATTTGATTTGAAATTTGTATAGAGAGTCTTTACAAATACAATTGAATTTAATTGTGTAATTACCTCGCACAAAATGTAGCCAGTGTTTCCGTAACTACAGAATAAAGATGGAAATAGTCCAACAATGTTTAAGTTCCGTGACCAAATAATGAATAGTCCATAAAACATCAGCAGTATTGTTTTATGTACTGTTGAGAGTCTTACCTGCCTGGCGAACAGGAAACTCCACCTGCTCCGACATAATGATCTGAAGCAGGGTCGGGGCAAAATTGATGATCTTGTATGACTGAAACACACAGAAGACAGATAGTTTTTTTAACATTTTGTTCAGATTAAACCGAGAGGTGGCTGTGGCTCAGAGGAAGAGTGGGTCGTCCACTGTTCAAGAGATCCTGTCCGATCCCACGCTCCCCCAGTCCGCATGTCAAAGTAAACTTTGGCAAGATGCTACTGATTACTCCCAAAGGCTGTGCCATCAGTTAATGAATGTGTTAATGAATGAGAAAGGTGCTATGCAAGTCCACTTATCAATTCCATTTTCCATTTGTGTGTGCATGAAGTGAGAAACGGTAAAATTGAGTCTATTATTTGTAAGCACAAGATAACATATTTTGAGGACCTACAGTAGTTACAGCAGTCAGTAGATCAGTGACACTAATGATTAGGGTTATAGTCCAAAAGGGTTAGAACCCTATTGAGTTTGTGTTGGTTTGTTATTATTATAGGGTTCAAACTCCATAGGACACAAAAGTGCCACGGCCAAAAGATCCTTGTCACTGAAAGTGCTAGGATCCTATTGTCTTTGTTGAGATCACTAATATTATTCGGGCCAGAGCACAAAAGTGTAAGGGCAGAACAGTCCCTGGTACTGCTTTTTCTGCCTTTTCGTAACTTCGCCTAGAGCAGAGGTAGCCAACACGGTGCCCGCAGGCACCTGGTCGCCCGCCGGGACCACGTGAGTTGCCCGCAAGGCCTGTTCTAAAAATAGCACTAGTCACCATGGAGCTCCGTCTAAACATTTTAGTTGCTGTTCATTTTTTATCAAAAATGCTTGCATTATTGTAGATTTTAAAATGACAATATTTGTTGTCGTAAGAGAGTTGTGTACCGAGAGGCGCACGGCGGACAGCCAGGAAGAGGCTGCCGTACCGCACTAGGTTCAGTCGTGCCGCGGGGCAACAACTCTTGGGTGGTGGAGGTAAAGGCGAGGCAACGCAATCCGACTGAAAAGGCCCAGACTAGAGGTTTGAACGCGGGCGCCCGAAGATACTAGTTTCTTCGTGGAGAAAAAGGTACCATTAGAAATGGTGTCGGTGACAACAAACGGGGCTCCCGCCATGACGGGCCGGCATGCAGGCTTCATTGCGCAATATAAAGGTGACCCAGACTTCCCTGAATTTCTACATTGCCACTGCATCATTCACCAGCCGGCGCTATGTGCAAAAGTAACCGGCTTTGATCATGTGATGACTCCTGTCGTGAAGATCATAAATGGCATCCGATCCAAAGCCAAACAACACAGGATATTCATAACTGATGATTTGTATAAACATGGGACAGAGTTGATTTGTTGATCATGATTTGTTCAAAAATGTTACAAAAGTGGTTAGTACCAACGAGACATGATGTGAAGATATGACAGTTAATGATTTCATAGAAAATGTTAGAAGTGATCATTTTTACAAAATATAACAGGTGCGATTTTGAACCAAATGCTACAAATGTGCTTATTCATACAAAACTGTCAAGAAAGACATTTACTAATATCAGAGAGGTGATACTTCTGACTTTCAAATGTTGAAACAGAATAACAGAAATAAATGTTTAAATCTGTGTTTCCTACCATCATTGTTGTGAAAATCATTGTTAATAATTATTGTGAGGAATAATTAACATTGGCATGTGATTAGACAGACTCTTCACACATATTATTATTATTATTGTTATTAAAAGGTGATCTGTGCAACTTTGTTGTTCAGGAAGTTTGTATCAAACAAGTAGCCCTTCGTACTACTCGGTACCCTTGAAGTAGCTCTCTGTTTCAAAAAGGTTGGTGACCCCTGGCCTAGAGGATTCAACAGATCCATCTCAAATTTGTTCAGCAGAATCTCAAGATGTTCACAATGCTAAATTGCGACGCTTTTGGGTTTTCATACAATGGTGTTGCTGTGGCAAGGCAGGAGATTTGCATGTATCGCCATGACACAGGAAGCTGTTGTAACTTGGATTCACTTGCTTCAAATTGCAAATGCTGGATAAAAGTCTAGCCCTGAAGGCATCTACACGCCTGTTTTGAGTTATTGTCAACTACTGACAACAGGAAATCAGCCTCATGTTACAAAGATCATTTGATTAACATGCAATGTAAATGCTGTAATCTACACATGATGTACATCAACGAGTTGTAAAATAGGTTTTGTGCGCAGAAAAAACCCTGCATTTGTGACCGTGAGGTCTGACAAACCAGTTTCAATCAACAACAAACTCTCCGGATTAGACGCAGGAATAGCTCTCGTTGAAGTACTTCAATGAGAATTCCACCAGCTCCGCGAAAGTCTTAAATTCAGCCAAGAAAAAATAACCACACTAACCAAAGAAAACAAATCCCTCCAACACACCGCTACTTCCTTCACAAGTCAGTTCGCCTCTGTTGCTAAGGAAAACAAGGACATGAAATAAACCACTCAATCTACAGTCATGAGAGACAATCTTGTTTTTTCCGGTATCCCAGAGTGCCCACAATATGACAAGCCAGAACAACTGATCAAGGAATTCACTTACCTCAAAATCTCCCCGGACACTGTTAAGGACATTACATTCCACGAGTACATCCCATGGGACAAAAAAACCCTCTAACAAACGCCCACGTCCCATCGTTGCAATATTCAAACACTTCAAGCAAAAACAGCAGGTACAACGTCACGGCAGACAACTGAAAGGCACGGACTATGGACTCAACGACCAATTCCCCCGAGAAATCCTGAACAGACGCAAAATACTATTCCCAATCAGAAGACAAAACACGCAAGAAGAAAAAAAAGCAGTCATCTCAGCTGCTAAAATAAACATTGATGGCAAAGTACTCTACCGAGACAAAGAAAATAACCCCTCGCTACTCTAGTTCCACCCTGCATAATCTCTCTCCCTATCCCCCCCATAACACATGCACAAACACACACGCACACATATTTCATCCATGCTCCACACCTATGGAAGAACACCTGCCCGTCCGACACACAGACATACCCAGACACGTGTACATATACCCATACATGCACACACATAGACATGCACACACATAAATCCATTCAAAACTGACCACATCTCATCTCCATGAATTCACTAACATTTTTTTCTTGGAACATCCGTAGAATTGGTTCACAGGCAAAAAGACTTAGAATACTCAACCACATAAACAAATTACAAGCAGTCATAAATTAAGAACACCACAATTCAATCACACTTTCTCCAGACAAAGAGGCGTAGCAATTTGAATAGACAGGAATCTCTCATTTATTCATAACAACATCATCACAGATCCAGAAGGATGATTTATCATAATAAATATCTCAATACACAATAGACCAATTACTATTGCATGCATCTACAGACCAAATAATGACTCGTCCTTTTTCCGCACTTTTTTTTAACCTCTCTCTCTCTAATCTGTCTGACTTTCCACTAATAAAGTCATAAACCCATCAATAGACAGATCAAACAATTCAAACAGCACACTAACTGCCAAACCACAGAAACCATTAAACAGTTCATGAGTGATATTTGGTCTTGGTGATCGTTGGTGATTAAAACACCCGACTGCCAGACAATATTTATTCTTCTCACCAGTTCATCACTTCCATATTGACTTCTTTTTAACCAGCAACTCAATTATCTCCCAAACCTCAGACACACTAATATTAGCGACCATGCTCCCGTCTCCCTCACATGGAATATGAACCAGTCTCGCAAACCATCTGTTGGGACTTCACCATGTGACTGAAACAAAGAGAGGCCTCCTTGTAATTTTGAAATCCTAAACTGGTTTAAACCACAACACTGGTGGCTCATTGGACGAGGGCCACAGGAACCACAGAGAGTCCCTGTGACACGGCCCTGATGTCACAAAGGCAGTGGTGGGCCGTCAGGGCCTTCAAGGCCTTCTCTGCTGGCCTAAACACAATCACAAAGTTATAGCTATTTTGTAATTGTTCTAAAATAATCTACATGTATTATAATTTATAAAAATATGTTTCCCATTATCTTATGTTCTCAATGCACAGCTACTGTCTTCCTCAGTTGCTCTGCTTCCAGTGCAGCTTGTTTTAAGTAGAGCTTTTATCCAATCAGATTTCACCTCTGTGTCTCTAGGTAAGAACAGAGGCCCGAGGCCTGCAGACTCACAAGTGAATCCCTTTGCAGTTTAAGTGAATGGGGACGATATTGTTGATTGTCATAGTGTTCAACCAATCAGATCTTTGGTTTGACATGTTGGGCGTATTCTTTGACGTGTTAGAGCCTGCTAGCTGGCCTACAAGTACGTCAGCATTAACGTGCAGCTCAGTTTTCAGGTGCATCTCTGCAGTGAGGTGCAGTGTGTGCTGTGATTGGTCAGTGGGCGAGCACGTGACTATTGTGAAAGGAAACTTAACATCAGAGACTTAGTCAGAGTAGTAAGAGTTCAAATTGAAATTTTTTGCATTTTGCTTGGTGTAGATTATTATTTTTTTACCTAGCTTTGTTTTTTTACCACTCAATGGCTGAAGAAACGGATTAGTGAGTTGGGATTTAACCGTGGGATTAAACTCTTTGTCAACAAAGAAAGGAGGATGGACTTTGTCTTTAAGTCAACTGCGTTTGTTTTTTTACATCTAAAATCTGAACGGCCCTCCAGTGTGTAGCAGAATGCCTGTTGCTGCTGTTGTTTTCCCATTGAGCTAGTTAGCGTAGCCTCCCAGAACACTTGCGGAGCCCCAGCTGTTTTTTGTTGCGTTTTTTTTTTGTTCCGGTTCAGAGGTCAGAGCCCGTTGTCTCCTACATGAGCGCAGAAAACATATTTCATACAATTTAAGCTTCTGCATTTTCCAAATGCACTAGTATTATTCGAACGTATTGTTCAGTTTGTAAAACTCGTACTGAAAGGTTTAATACGAATACGTGTATTGTTACACCCCTAGAAACAAATAACCGTAGCTGTGGCGCCATCATGAGGCTATAAGGTGGTATTTCAGCTGCAGGACAGCAGTGAAGGCCCAGATATAAAATGCAGGGCCCGCCACTGCACTAAGG